TATTTACTTTATTTGACAGTCAGCTTTTTTAAAATCATGTCTAAACTAGCACAATCTACTTTACCATTCCTACATAATTTGTATCCTGGAGTTGCAGCGTTCATCCATTGTTTTTATTTCAGAACCCCCATTAGGCTAACATTCCCACTAAAAGCTGGGCAGTGTAATAGACCTATGCCACGTTTTTTGAAAACTATCATTTATGTAGAAGCATCTATGCATGTGCAATTTATATGGGCACTAGCTCTTAAGCTCCCTGCTCAAATGGGACCCTAATTCGTGATAATAATTCTTGAGAATAATTTCGTGATAACAGATTTATTTTATTCCTTGTTCCTCGCTACACCTTACCTATATTTTAATCAACATTTGTCTCATGTTTGACATTTTTATTACTTCATCCCTGAAGAACAGATGATAGCAAATTACATACTATCCTGCTTCTACCAACATTCCCTCCATCTTAAGAACAAAGACTCTTAAAAAAAACCTTAATAGGAAGTGCCTTCTTTTGCACTTTGGTAATATAGATGTTTTGTGCCCTAAAGCTTTATTAGAGCACTGGTCAAGGATATAGAAAATCTAAACATTTCTCAGTCCAAGAAGGTTTGAGTCCAAATCTTGCACATTTCAGGATGGCAGCCTGGCTGGTCAGGTTTTTTTAATAAAATGCAGAGGTAGACCCTAGAGTACAGAGCAAAATCCAGTGTTTCCCATTCTCCATTTTCTCTTGGGTCAAGCCTGATCTCTGGACCATCCCAGGTCCCTTCTTAATTGCTCTCTGGCTTCACAAATTTTGCATGCTTGGCTACACACTTGTCCCATTTCAAGAGAGACCACTAATACAACTCCACCGTTGCTCAAGTGTGTTCAAGGAGCACTACATGGAAATAAAAGTTAGGACAAGTGTATCACCAGACATACCTAAGCAGCCAGACATGGATTTTGTGACTTGTTGTGTAGGAGTTTAGGCACAGATTTCTACCTAGGCTACATATTCACTGACTTTGTTGAGATGAACATGTCAATGCCTAGGCTGGAAGGCATGTTCCTGTCACATCCATACTGGAGAAGTCCCAGCCTTCTTTGGAGCACAATAGCCACATTCACACTACATTTTGCAAGAGTATCCACTACATACTTTCATGTCTCACCAACACAGGCACACATATCTTACTATTATTATTCCAGCTGTCTCGAGATGAAGGGCCATGGCCAGCACAGTCCCATGGCTCCTCTTTTAACGTAGTGTGCAGTCATACTGCCTGCACCAGGCAACAGACATCTTGCCTCAGGGCCACTCACATCAACCACAGGACAGCTGAGTGTTTATAACTTAACAGATTCTTGTCATATTGGGCAAGCTCTGGAGCAGAGCCGTGTGGGGTACTACTGTCATCACAACAAAATATTCACAATGATTGAGAACTACTTGGGAGCTGCACTTTTCCAGGAGTGTGCCTACACCTACTGTCCAGAGTGAGCCTGCGTGGCCGGGGCAGGTACTCAGCAGAAGGTACCAGCAGGACACGTAAGTAAGTCCCACAAAGCCCCTGGTGAAACAGGAGCTGCACAAGTGCTCCTGTATCCAGCATGTTACTGCCTCATTGTCCAAAAACAATCACTCCTTATTTCATCTACATGATCCAAGGGGACGCTCGCTCTCTTCCCCCACCCCGTCCCTTTCCTGCTAGGGTGACAAGTATTCAGCAACAATGGCAAACATTACAATAGGTAGCACCTTAGGAGCATTGCCTACAACCTGTAGAAGCAGTCAAAACACACCCAGAACTGCAGGTAGAGGCTGGAAACGTCATTCACGCACAAGCCTGCAGTACAAGGGGCGAATGAAATGCTCAGTGGGATGCGAGAAGGCTGCTATTTCACCTGGCTCATGCTGTATCATAAGCAGGCCCAATGTTGATGAGATTACAGTTTTTGCAATTATCCTGCATTTGGGGCCCTTTGGAAAACGCAACTTTCAAAATATGGCCTTAAGCAGAGGCAGGTCAGGTGCACCAGACACCTACGGATTAAGTCCTATGTATGCAACTACTATTAAAATCATGTATACTGTATCCCGGCAGCAATGTCTAGTTAAGAAGTGATTTACTTCCAGGTAGAACTACTAGCCATGGTATTGTGTCCAGTGATATTGATTCCCTGCCAAAGCAAGCCAGTTTCTCCTGTGAGTAATCAAGAG